CTTTCATTCAGCCTTGAAGTGATTCTAGCAAACAGTTAGGCAACTAAGGAGAACAAAGAGGCTTCCAGTGTACATTGTATATTGTGCTGCTGACTACACATGGCATCATCCAGACATTGCTCAAGTGTTGTCCATCATATTTGACAACCACCAGTCTTTAGGCCTGTGTAACTGGGGACTTATTCACTTGGTCCCCTATCGTCACCATGGTTGTCACAAAGTGGCGGATAAGTGGCGGATAGGATAACTGCCATGGTCACATGTCTTCAATACCTCAATAGCCAGGTCGTGGAGTACTTCAAAGATCTCCTCAATTCAACTGACACACCTGCAGTGGAAGCTGAGACTGAGGACAAAGAGGACAACTTCCCACATCCCTGTGGCTGAGGTCACTGTGGTAGTTAAACAACTCCTTAATGGCAGGGTTTCCAGGGTGGACGAGATTCACCCTGAGTTTCTCAAGGCTGTAAATATTGTGGAGTTGTTGACATTAGGTGGACGTCAGGAGCAGTCACACTGAACTAGCAGATTGGGGTGGATGTTCTTCTCATTACGAAAGGGGGCTGGTACATGTGTTCCAACTTTTGGGGGATCACCCTTCTCAGCTTTGCTTGGAAGGAGGAAGGAGGAAAGATGTGGTTTTTGCTCTTGTCGTGGAATACTGGACCAGCTCTTTATCCTCTGAAGGATATTCAAAGGTGCGTGGGAGTTTGTTCAGTCTACATGTGGTAGACTTGGGGAAGGGATTCAGCTGCGTCCCTATGCATGTCCTGTAAGGAGTATGGGGTACCAGGAATGATTTTATATATTCTGATTATCTGTTCCATGTATAACTCTGGTGAGACCTTGGGTCACATTACCAGTCATGAATCAGAGTTTTTCTCTGTGGATGTGGGACTGCACAACACTGGCTGCCATTTGACACCATTTCTGTTTATGGACAGAATTTCAATGTACGGCCAAGGCATGGAAGGTGTTGTCAGAATGTCATCTCTGCTTTTTGCAGATGATGTGAGTCTGTTGGCTTCAATGTGCAGAAACCTTCAGCTCACACGGAGGCAGGTTGCAGCCAAATGTGAAGCAGCTGGGAGGAGAATTAGATCCAGAAAAGGGTTGAGTGCTCACTCCAGGTGACGTCCTGTTAGTCCTATGTTAACATGTTTTAATAACTTTTCGTTTGGGGACTTGTGACACTGAATGTGACACTACACATTCTGTTTTAATATTTGCTTAAAATGCATTTAAACATAATTCAGAAACATTTTTGAAACTTCTAACTGCTCAATTTTTGTTTGTTTTTGGGTTTTTTTTGTTTTGTTTTTTTGAGGGGCGGGGGCATAAAGAGAGTAATACATGGTACTTATTTCTCATCTATGAATTCAGAATTCAGTGATGACTGATTCAATTCATTAAATGCTTGCTCCTTGTCTAGTGAGCTTGATAATCCACATTTGTGAAATACTATATAAGGAAGCGTTCCTTTCAACCACACTCACATGAACCTGAAAGGCCCTGTATGCAATACAAATAAGTGAATAACAGTACGGTGGCACGGTGGTTAGCACTGTTGCTGCACAGCAAGAAGGTCCTGAGTTCAATTCCACCATCAGGCCAGGTCTTTCTGTGTGGAGTTTGCATGTTCTCCCCGTGTTTGCGTGGGTTCCTTCCGGGTAGTCCGGCTTCCACTTCCATGCACTTAGTGGGGATAGGTGCAAATTGCCCATAGGTGTGAATGGTTGTCTGTCTGTGTGTGTTAGCTCTGCGACAGACTGGCAACCTCTCCAGCGTGTACCCTGCCTCTCGCCCTATGACAGCTGGGATAGGCTCCTGCGATCCTGAGAAGGATACGCAGAAGTGAATGGATGGACAGTACTCTCCTGTTCTTTGCACACTGTTTTCTGCAGATAAAGATCTTATAGTGTCCTCACATTACAGACCCTAATCGTCTGCAAATCTAGATAACAGAGAAGGGGTTTAGATTTTTTTTTTTTAAGAATTGGAGTGGGTTTTATTTCATGACCTTATTATGTTTCACAGTAAAGCACCATTCGTGTATTCGGTGTTCATGACAAAAAAACAAAAATACTGACTCATGCATATAAAGAATTATCCTAAGTTTGCTGACTCTTTGTTAAATTATGCAATAGTTTTCTTGTGATTCTTAGCCATTTTGTGCATTTTCTGTCCCTGCATAGTCGATTTTGGTCAGAGAATAACTAGAAAATCAGTACTTTAAAACAAATGACTATGTGCCAATGTACTAATACATTCTATACTAACCAGAAACAACATTAAAACCAGGTAAGGACATGAAAAGTGGATAATATTGATTGTCTTATTTTAGTGGAAACTTTGAGTATTGGACTTTTCCAGGAACCACTTAGGTACATGGCAATCACATGCCTCGCAGTTTCACTCCAAAACATAATTTTCATGGGATTGGTTCAAGAAATGCACACAAAAAATATTATAAAAGAAACGAAGAACTTCCCCCATGTTTAAACTCTTTAGATCCAATCTTGTGGAATACCTACCAGATGGACTGATCAAGCCCGTGTCACAGAAGTCCCACCGTGCAACCCAGAGATTCGTGGATCCCTGGGAAGCATCAGTCGGACCTACACATTACAATTTTGTGCCTGAAAACTGGGGACCGGAAAAGACTTCTATCCTATTCTTTAAGTGATGAAACTCACAGGCATGTTGCAGTGAGCAATTACCAGTCAGTCAGGCACAGCAGTAATTTCGTCTTTGACAGCCTAATACAACTTCCTAAATTGCCTAGAGGTGCAGCATGCACACACAGACGTGTGCAATATTTCTTTTTTAAACATGCAATACACTATACAAAAAGAAAACAAGCATCATTTTTGATTTTTTTGGTTTGCCTAGCTTCTCCAACACATGAATTATGTCTTTTTCATCCCAGCAAATATGTTTTATTTTATATTCCCTGAAATCTTAGCCTGATGATGTTACTGTCAGTTATTGTTAAATTGACAAAACAATTCACGATACAGAATGTTTTTTAAACAAGCGATTTATTCAATTTTTTATTCTGAGCAAACAACAACAAGTTAATTTTCATTTAAACACTTCATCCAACAGCCAAACTGTGTGTTTGTGTGCGCTCATTCAGCATGGGTTAGTCTGTTGGCCAATGTGTTTGTTTGTGTCTGACATTATATACACTATGTGGAACTTTCTGAATCTGTTCCTCAAAACTGTTCCTAAAACCTGATGCTGGGGACTTTTACTCGCTCTCACTCTCGGTAAGTTCACTGTCCTCACTGAGAGAATAACCCTAACTGTCCAATCACAGCTCTTGTGCCCAGTGACAGCACTGACAGGAACTCCCCTCTTTTCACTCTCTGTGCAGAGCAGTTTATACACCACTCTGCATTTAATCATTATTTATTCAAATCTGTCTGTCTTCCAGAATGTGTCTTTCGTCCCCTCCCCTCCAGCAGGTCACCCCTACCTGAGTCTGGTTCTCCTTTTAAAATGGAGATTTTCCTTCCCACTGTCTCCAAGCGCTTGCTCATAAAGATTCGTCTGATGTTTGGGATTTTCTCTCTATTTTTTGTAGGGTCTTTACCTCACAATATAAAGCACATCGAAGTGGCTGCTGTTGTGATTTGGTGTTATATAAGTAAAACTGAATTGATCCGAAGTTAGTATAAGTTCATATTAGTGGTTGGTTTGACTATGTCTACACACCACCACCCAGTGCTCTCGAAACATTAACACAGAGATTCTCATGAGGACTCCAGTTCCTGCTCCAACACGCCTGATTCAAAAGATCATCTGGGTATTATATGTTGTAACAGCTTGATAACAAGACAATCATCGGATCAATGGTAGCAGGGTGGCACCTAAAGCAATCAGTTTCCATAACAACAGAACCTCTGCTTTAGTTTTTGCCCCAAGAAAAGTGATCTAACTGCATGTTTCCCTGAGGCAAGAAACCCCTAAAAAATGCTGTTTTAGGAAACTAATTATATCATAATCTATTTACAAACAACCAAATATACTTCTTTATATATTTGTGTACATGCTCATAGTTTTTAATGTATTTTTTAAATTTAAACATGTGTAAAAATAATATTAGTCTTGGCAGTAGCTGGCACCACATCCAATGTGGATTTTGTTTCTGACAAGAGTGCTTCGCCACCAGGTCAAAGGTCAGTCCCTCATCTCCTCCTCATTTTACTGAACAATAAGAAGCTCTCAATTTACCGGTCGATCTACGTCCCTACCCTCACCTATGGCCACGAGCTGTGGGTAGTGACCGAAAGAACGAGATCGCGGATACAAGCGGCAGAAATGAGCTTCCTCCGAAGGGTGGCTGGCCTCTCCCTTAGAGATCGGGTGAGAAGTTCGGCCATACGGGAGGGGCTCAGAGTAGAGCCACATCGAAAGGAGCCAGCTGAGGTGGTTCGGGCATCTGACAAGGATGCCTCCTGGGTGAGGTGTTCCAGGCATGTCCCACCGGGAGGAGGCCCCGGGGCAGACCCAGGACACGCTGGAGAGATTATATCTCTCGGCTGGCCTGGGAACGTCTTGGTGTTCCCCCGGATAAGCTGGAGGAGGTGGCTAGGGAGAGGGAGGTCTGGGCCTCCCTGCTTAGGCTGCTGCCCCCACGACCCAGCCTCGGATAAAGCGGATGAAGATGGATGGATAGGTTGCCTTCAGTCATTAAATGAAATGAACACTGCAATAACCCAAAAAAAATTCTGGTTTGTTGTTTGAGGTTAACACCACGCCACAGAGTGTTCCCCACCTTTCCTCCTTCACAGCTGGGACAGACTCCGATCAGAAAAAGATAATTTTTCATGATGAAAACATGATATAGGATTAAAATAATAATAATAATGACTTGGCTCGGGGGGGTTTTCTCACTTTTTATATATTTATTTTTATTTTTAGTCATTGTGAACAAAATAGATACATATATAAATATTCTTTTATATACAAATGGCACAAAAATGCAGACAGCAGAATAAAAATCACAAAGACACCACATGCCATTAATCTGACAAGTTAATAAACACTTAAGGGATGGATTTAGGCTTTAAACCTGGTTGAAAAGCTCAAAGCATTCCAGCCATTATCTCTGATCCTATTCTGTATGTGTTCTGTGTACTGTGTCTGTTTTGAAAACGGAACACAGCAGCAAGCTTAAAGTGAAAAGATAAATAGATGAAAACGGAAAAATGGAGGCCATGGCCAAAGGAATCTGTACACATCCAGGGTTAGGGTTGCTTTGGTGATTACTCAGCAAAAACAAAACAAAACAAAACAGTATATAAGTTATAAAATATATGGGAATGGATGGAGATATGTGATGTTCACCACTCCATATTCACCACTGTTAATTTTACTTTGGGCAGGTGCAAATCAGCGAAGAGGGATCTTCTTGTCTGGAACTGGCACCTAAAAAGACAGAAACATACGAATGAAGGGGTTAAATTTCTATTTTAAATAAAGATGTTCCTAATTGCTTGTGTCCTATCCCGCTCCACCTATAAAACTCTGGATGTTAAAGTCAATATGAGACTGGAGAGAATAAAAAGCTTCCTCAGATGACAAAATGGAAAGTTTTCACCTTGTTTTGTGTCCACATGTGAAGAAAAATAGTCCTGAAGTTTTACAGGTGTTTATTTAACATTAAAAAGCAGAAACCACCCAAACACTGCATCCAATGCTTGCCCCTTTCAAGACAACTTGAGCATATGTAGAGCCATTCCTTCTTATATGTTAGATGTCTATGAGGTTGAGTGTTTTTTTAACGTCACATCCCAAACTAATCCTCAAATTTCAAATGGGATTTGAATGCTATGATACCCACTAATGTGCTAAATTCAATCTCAGCCCTGCACATCACCACTAAGTTGGCAGTTTTGATATTTTACGATTGATTACAAAACAAGCCGGCAGCGCCTGCGAGATCCGACAGCGCCACAGTCTAAAGTGAAGTTTCTCAGAAATTAAAGGTAAATCATCCTCCTGGACAAACAAAGTCAACACTCAAACGTTCGCTAAACGTTCACATGACGACATCAAAGAGAATGTTTATGTCCCTCAAGTTGCAAATATAGTTCAGCCTTCTGAATCTGATGGAAAAAATTAAAGCTGTGCTGCAACTGTGTGGTCCCCTGACCACTAAACAGTGGGTTGCGAGACAGCAGCTCTCCAGGCCTGAGTTACGGCGTACAAATCATGACCAGAACAGGCAGAACACCGAGACCACACGTGTTCCTCAGCTGCTTTTGTTTGAAAAACCTGCAGACCACCACCAAGCAGACAAACTGAAGTCCAAAGGGTGCTTTTTAGTAGGGGGATTTTGGTAATGGTAAGACCAGGAAACCACAACTTCAAACTTAAAATAAAAAGTAAAAAAAATAAATAAAACAACCTAAGTTATTTTCAAGCCAGTACTTAAAAGACCCAACTCAGTCACTGCAGATCCTACTGGCTCTGATGATATGATCACCGTGCTCAGCTGAAGCTAGTATCAAGTTTAAAAACTCATATC